CACCAAACCAATATTCCATTCCTGCTCTTCTTGCAACATTGCTTCTGCCAAATCTGCCTCCTCTACTACTGCTTGCACCAATATTTTTGTTAGCCTTGGCAGTCATGATGGTTTCCAACATGCCTTCCAAATGACTAAATCTTTCTTCCCCCTTTTTGGCGTAATCAATCAGTGTATGCACCGAATCACGAAGAGAAGAAATAGATTCTGAGATAGTTTCATATGAACCTCGAAGGCAGCCAACTTTGGTGTTGATAGAGTCAATATCCGTGTGAACATCTTTGATTTGATTCTGTTGTTGATGTCCCACATTGAGAATTCCCTTGCTTTGATTCACAGAAATTGCTTCACTGGTTTTTCTATCAGTTTTGAGAGATTGAGACAGTTGGATAAAGAACTCATTGAGTAATCCTTTGACAATAGCATTCAATCCGCCAACTTGTCTTTCCAGTGATTGGTGTGTATCAATCAAGTGTTGTTAACTCCTTCTATTTTCATCAAACGAGCCTTCAAATTTTCCTGTTTATGTGTTGACAATATGATCCACATAAGTATAAATTCCTTGAATCATACTCTCCATACGGTCAACTAAACCCAACACAATATTTTCTAGATTCTTCAACTGATCACTAGAAGTAGTGCCATCAAGATTGTGCTCTTCTTGGGTTGCGGGAATGTGTCTTGCTCCTTCTTGAGCAGAATTATCTCCTAGCATGTGAGATTGTGCTTGATTTTCTAGCACATTTCTTGCTCCTTCCGGTGTATGCTCTTCCAACATGTGTGTATCACCTTGAATACTTTCTGCAATTCGTGACTGAGTTTCCTTCGTATGATGGCTGGCTTGCATGGCTTGATTTTCATGGCTAATCTCAATCTGATTCAACACACTAACATCATAAAGATTGATGTCCATATAACTTAGACTCACACTGTTGTGATAAAAAAGTTGAGCATGTGTGTCATTTGCTCCTTCTGAATTTGTGACGTGTCTACAGAGCTCAATGGTTTGATCAAAATCACCACCATCAACCAAAAATTCATTTCCAGCTGGCATTTTTTCTTGTATGATGTTGGCTTGAGAAGTCTCGGCCAGCTTTGCTTTTAGCTTGGTGACCACGGCGTAGAATCGGGAAAAAAATCTGCACACACAAAACAATGAAATATAAATGGGACTGATTGTGCACCGAAACAGAGGCCACAGATATTTACAGCACCATGCACCCAGAATAGATTTTGCAAGACAAAAGCACAATCTCAAAAAAAAACACACCATAGATAATCAAGGCAAAATAAGCAAATTAAAGCATAAAAATATAATGCGATGCATGCCTAATTAACAAGCAATAAGGTATTGCTTCCTTAGAGATTAGAGAAATCAAACCGTAGATTGAGCCTGTAGTTGCCGAGCCCGAAGCTCTTCCTGACGAATTCCCTCGTCTAAAATTTCATCAAGTGGCCATGGGTCATCCGTGATCCCTGATGCTCTGGAAAAGATCTCCTTGGAGTCCTTCACGGATAATTCCCCCATCAGAGATGGGTGTCGAAGAAGCGTTGCAAGAACCCGGCGAGAAGAGATGTCCGAAATCGGAGCTGTGCCCCGAAGAATTTGACGATAGAGATCTAAGCGCTCATCTTCCGTGAGGTAGAAAAGGAAAGGGTTAAGATCAGAATGGCTAGCCATATGTGAGATAGGTAAAATCGGATCGATTGGGTAGAAGATTTAAGCTAGGATTCGAATTTGAGATGTAGAGCTTGAGAAGAGTTTAAAGGAAAGTGGGACTGATTTTAGGGATTGGATTCTATAAATTGGGGAAGATGGCGGTGGTGTATAACAGCCAGGAGAGAGAAAGAAATAATAAATAATTCGAAACATATAGTGCCGTTGAACAACTTATTTTCCGGTCTGGAGTACTAACTGGAGCAGAGAGCGGACCTGGAGTACTTTCTGGATTAAACCTGAAAGGAAAAAACAAAACACAAAACAAAGAAACACAAAAGACTTTATTATTCCACAGAAAAAAATTAGATGGAAAACCTGCACAATCCAAGAGCAACCCGGATTAACTAAAATCTTGTGTTATCAGGAGGTTTTGTAAATAGGTCAGCTAGATTTTTCTCCGTTGAAATGTACTCCAGGTTGATCTCCTTGTCTTCTACCAATTCTCTTATGAAGTGATGCCGTAGTTTTGATTCTTTTATGCTAGACCTGTAACAAACGGAATCGTTAGTAAGTATATAACAATTATCAGAAGAGCGTTTACCTTCCATGACATAGTTCTTTTGATAGTCTGTGACATTGCAACTGTCTTTTGAGAAGCAGACTTTCCATTCCTGGTCACATAATTGGCTTATGCTTATAAGATTTGCATGAAGACCCTCCACCAAAAGAACTTGTTTTAGTTTGGGTAGACCTGTGACATTTAGAGTGCCAATTCCAGTGATCTTTCCCTTAACTCCATCGCCGAAAGTCACTTCTCCTGTGCTTCCCTTTATATTGTTTAGGAACTTAGCATTACCCGTCATATGACGTGAACATCCACTATCAAAGTACCATCTCTCTTTTCTGTTAGTACTTGTAGAGTGGACGGAGACGTGACAGACAAAGTCACTTTTCTTCACCCAAATTTGCTTGACAAACGGGATGATAGATTTGTTGGTGTATTTCTCAAAACGTTGGTCTTTGTAGAAGTAGAAGCACTCCGGTTTTGTATGTCCGCGTACCCTGCAGTAATGACATATAGGATTATACAATCTAACCTTGGTTGTCTTTTTACATGGAGCAAATTTGACTTGAAGCTGAGCTGTACTAGTTTCTGGACTATCTTGATCTGCTTCAGAGACTGAGTCAGGGCCTGAGGCTTTGACTAAAAATGTAGTAGCTTTGTCCTTTCCTCCAGAGTAGCCTAACCCATATTTTGTAGATGTCTTTCGACCAGAATCTAAAATTTGATCTAAGGTGGATGTGTTGTCCATCATTTTTATCTTGCGTTTGAGTTGTTCCAGTTCCTTTTTGAGATCTTCCAGCTCATGTTTGAGATTTTCTTCTTTCTTGTGACTGTCTTCAATGATGCTGTCCATGCCAGATATTTTAGATAGATACACCTTTTTTGCATTTTCTAGAATACTAACCTGACTAGACAGAGATCTATTAACTTTTACAAGTATTTCCCATTTTGCATACAATTTTTTATATTCTACTTCAAATGAAGGTGCAGGTAAATCTTGGTCTTCTGATGACACATACTCTTCAATTTCTGATTCTTTGCCAGTTGTAGATTCAGGTACTGTAGTTGTAAGAGCTGTAAAGGCAACAAAGTTTCCAGAGATCTCATCTGGATCAGAACCTGGATCAGTTTCTGGTTCATCATCATCACTCCAGGTAAGGGCGACTTTCATCGACTTCTTCCGTCTTAGGTGGGTTGGACATTCGGCTTGCACATGACCATACCCTTCACATTCATAACACTTGATCCTTTTGCCCCCAGTTTTTTCTTTTCGCTGAGAGTTTCTTGATGTACCTGATCGTTGATTGGAAGTATTTGGTTTTTGATTGTTTCGAGCAATACTTGACCCCAATCCTTTTTGACTTGGATACTTGCCAAATTTTCCATTTTGACGTTGTTTTACCTGTTGTAACAATTTAGAAAAACCTTTAGATAAGAACTCTATTGGATCATCGTTTACCTCATCTGGATCAGAAACAGCTCCAGCGTCTTCAACAGTAAATGCTACGGTTTTTCCTTTTGTTTCAGGTCCGCCTAAGATTTCCATCTCATAACACTACTACAGAAAACGATTTTAACGTCGGTTAAAATACCCCATTTAACGTCGGTTATCTTTCGACGTCGTCTTAAGAGACGTCGTAAGTAAATGATACGACGTCGGTTGAACAACCGACGTCGTATGTAATATACGGCTTCGGCTTTTACCTAAAAGCCGAAGCCGTATATATATATATATATATATATATATATATATATATATATATATATATATATATATATATATATATATATATATATATATATATATATATATATATATATATATATATATATATATATATATATATATATATATATTTTAAATAATTTACATACGACGTCGGTTTTTAGGTAAACGCCGAAGCCGTATATATTTATTATTTTTAAAAAATAAAAAATAATTAGCCTACGGCGTCGGTTTTTAGGTAAAAACCGACGCCGTATATATTTAAAAAATAATAAATATATACGGCTTCGGCTTTTACCTAAAAGCCGAAGCTGTATATATTTATTATTTTTAAAAAAAATAATAATTAACCTACGGCGTCGGTTTTTAGGTAAAAACCGACGCCGTATGTTCTTTTTTTTTTTTTTATTTATATGCGTTTTATGTTTTCTACCCCACCTGTATCAATTTTCAAACCCTGCGCAGCTAGCAATTTAACATTCTGCATTCAACATCAACTAATTTATTAAACTAATTCAAGCTACTAAACATAAAACTAATATAAGTACCACAATTCAACAAAACTACTAAACATTAAGCCAATAAACATAAACTAATTTTAAACGTAAAGTATCAACTAAGAAGCGTTTTATTAACCCATTCATCAATAAGAAGCTTAGACCATTTGTCTCTAACTTCATCAATCTCTTTTTTGTTGTAGGGCAATCTTCCTTGTCTTTCCAAAGCCTACAAAGTTCAAAAGAAATAAAATTAATAAATAAGCAAGTATTTTTAAACATTTGAAGCCAAAAGATATATTAAGAAATTACTTGCCTTATCCATTCCTTTGCATAGATTGTTGGAAACAATTTCCAACATGAACTTCATCACATAATAACCACATTCGGTGGTTCCCTTTTGTATAGCACACTACATTGAATTACAATAAAAATAAAATAAATTAATAAAAAAAAAACAATAAGTTTGCATGTTTTACAAAGTGAATGAAGTACTTACCGAACATATAGTCCATTTTGGTGAACGATTTTGTTTCTTTCCACTCATCATGTTTGTTGCAGTCATACACCTATTAATATAAGACATAGAATATATATAAATACTTGGCATCACTAGTTTAATGATAACTATTAATTAATTATATAAATTTACATACGTTTCCATTATATGTTTAATGTCTTCACGCGGCCCATGACCAAGTGAATCAAACCAAAACATTTCATTTAGTCGAGGACAAATCGCCATCAACATCCAATGCTCACTACAAATAAATAATTTATTAGTTTTAAGTGAATATAATATATAATAAAAATATATTATATATAAGTACTTTTATTTAAAACGTAATTAATACTTACTTGAGAACATATGGGGCTAAGTATACCAATTTCTTCCCCGACTGCATGGTGGCATTTATATATGATTTCCTGTCTTCCATATTATTCATTTGTGGTTGAATCCAATATGGATCTAGGAAGCCATACGTGTCTTTTGATGCCAACTCAAAACTAATGTAAATACCCCTATTCACAAACACAACCAATTATATATAGATTACCAACTATATAAATATAAAACTATTATGAATAAATAATACTAAAGAACTTATTACCTCATAAAGAACTGAATTAGAGAAACATCGATGGTCTCCATATTTAAGAAACGCATTATCTCATCACTTAGAAGGTGCAAGTCATAGTCAATGTTGCCCATAATACCACGAGCCACATGGACCACAAGAGGGTGTTCAAAACGGCGAGCTATTGAAAAGGCCTTTTTGCATCCATCAGTCAAAGAATCATCATCAGGTATAGTGAATTGTTGATGAACGGATTGCACACCCGAATGAAAAGTCAATTTGGTCTTTTCTTTTGACTGTGAATTATAATACAAGTAAGAATTATTATTTTAAAAAGTAACTTACTTACTATTTTAAAATAGAAATATTTTCAGTATACATACCACATCAACTTTAGTACATAACTCTACCAGCTTCTTTGGCCAAGCAATAAAGTGTTGAATTGCATCACCTACAAGCTGAACCTCACTGGTGGGGATTGGTACATGTGCACTTGGATCACTAACTTCATTTACGCTCACCTTCACATGATTTATATCCAGTACAACCCCATGAACCTGTCCACCACTGTAAGCTGTCCCATATGCTACTGGACGTCTAATTGGATCTTCTAAGAACAGTTGACATCGTGCCCCTAACTACAATAATTTTTAATTAAAAATCATATAAAATTTTATTGATAAATAATAATAAGATAACTTTAAACGAATACTTACAGCCGGTAAATTACTAAAAGGGTCTGGGGAACTAGCTTTGTCACTTGGAGGTAGTGACACAACATCCACACATACGTCATCCACCTGCTTTGCTTGTAAAGGAGTCTGCATAGCACTAAATTTCAACATCATACTAGCTATTTTTGCCTCAAATTGCTCAGTTAATCGTTGACCAAATTCCTCCTGTTCAGAAATATTTTGCTGCTTTTGTTTCTCTAACGCTACTGCAACAGCATCATCAACCATTTGTTGAACATCTTCAGGAGGCTTTTCGCGACGTTTTGCATGGCCAAATACACTTTTGAAGCCATGTCCTCTTCCCATGGCTCTAGCACGTCCAGAATGCTCATCAGTACCCAATGCAACAGTCAATGAATCTTGTCTTCCTTTCTCAACAAATTCTCCTTGAGAAATTTGGATCTCAAGAGCATCCAAACATATATAAAAATTATTCAATAATAATTACTATTACTTTAGTAAATGACAACATATTTACTTACAATTTTTTCCGCCACCAATCTTGTTGATTCAGTGCGATAATTTCCTGACTTGTCAATTCTTGCTTTCTTCCACTTTTCGGCTCTACGTGGAGGACTTGGAGGACTCATTGTATACGTCGGATCTGCATCAGCCAACGCTTGTTTTTCTTTCAACTTCTCATCCATCATCATCTTCTCCAACCTTTTATAACCTACTCGAGCTAAAAGATGTGGATGAATATTCTTAGCTTGTATGTCTTGATATTTTTTTCTTTTTGCCTATATAAATACAAAATATTAATCAAACTCTTTACATGTCCCTCATAATAATGATAGAGTTTATGTTGGAAATATTGATAGAATAATAACGATACCTCATATGCTGAACCTGTATGCGACTTTACAAACTCATCCCATGTCTCTTGTTCAATGAAGTTGTATTTTATACATGGGCTCATACCTGCAAAACTACCGTATATATACTTGCTCACCAATTTCGCTTTAAAATCTTTCCACCGATCACCCACATATCTTAACCATACTCTCCTCATATCAGTTGTGTCGGGAATATCATAAGTATTCTGCAAAACAAAATTATTTATTAGTTAGAAATGTAATTATAGAAACTTTATGAATAAATCAAAATCTTACAAAATTAAAAGTTACCAGGATTTGTTTCCAAATAGTACTCTTAATATTTTCTGGGACATTCGGCCATTCATCTATGGTGATAGGAGTATGTATTCGTCCCACTAATGCAACATAACTTTTAAATGCACTACCTTCTGGCCCGTAGACAAGCTCCAATCCATCATGCTCAATGTGGTGTTTCCCTTCAGTAGAACGCTGCAGAATGAGTTTTTGCATACGAGTGGCGCCCCTCGTCTTAGAAGTAGTATTACTACTTTGAGTAGTATGAGTATCTTGTGCAGTACCATCCTCTGTAGTACCATCACCATTTGCTGAATCCATACGCCTGTTTAGAAACAAAAATTATTAGAATATATAAAAGTACTACAATAAGAAAACTAAAAAACAAAATAAATAGCGGGCATTACATGTAATAATCAATTCTCCCATATCCCTTCATGATGATCATCTCGTGATGCATGTACTTCATCTATCTCATTATCAATAATAGTGGGCAATAAACTTGAAGAAAATGGTGGTATTTCCTCAATATCAAAACTAACATCTTCATTCTCATCTCTAGTAATTTGTCTCTTTCAATGAAGAACAATTGACCATTTTTTGTCACAAGGATCACTAATATAAAAGACTTGTTTTGCTTGGGATGCCATTATGAACTGCTCATTTTTGTGCCCTTCACGATTAAAATCAACAAGTGTAAATCCCAACTCATCAACTTTTACACCATGTTTATTATCTACCCATCTACATCGAAACACCGGCACCCTAAACAAAACATAATCAACTTCCCATATTTCTTCAATCACACCATAATATGACAACTCTGCGAACACAGGATTTGTATCTTTCGAACTACTGAAATGCATGGAATTTGCAACCAAAGTAACTCCACTGTTTTGCATAGTGCTCTTTTCATCTTGAGCTTTTGTATAAAAAGAAAACCCATTAATGTCATATCCATTATAGCATAGGACATCCAAACCAGGACCATGTGCTAACCATGAAACAGTTTCAGACATATTATTCTCTTCAATAACTTTATTTTTGAACCAACAAATAAAAGTTCGATTATGTTCGCCCACAATCCACATGTCTGTCCTTCTTGGATTTTGCTCTCTAATCAATGCCTTGTGTTCATCTAAATACGGCTCGACTTCATTTGTATTATGCAAGATGTACAAGTGTGCCTCCTCAACATCTTCACGAGGCATAGTCTTCACTTTGACTCCTCGAGTACCCTTCCCAGCAATTCTTCCTTCATGTCGATTAGTAGAAACACCAATAGCCTCTACCCCTGCCAAATATTCTGTACAAAACTTAGTAACCTCCTCTGCAACATAGCTTTCAACTATAGATGCTTCCGGCCTATATCGGTTCCTAACATAACCTTTTAATACTTTCATGTACCGTTCAAATGGGTACATCCACCTCAAATAAGCTGGACCACAATGTTTGATCTCTCTCACCAAATGCACAAGCAAATGAACCATGATATCAAAAAATGAAGGTGGAAAGTGCATCTGTAGCTGACACAGTGTAACAATAATGTCATTTTGCAATTCATCTAATTTGTCTGGATCAACAACTTTCCCACATATTGCATTGAAAAAGAAACAAAGTCTTATGATGGTATATCTCAACTTTTTAGGTAATATGCCTCTAACAGCCACTGACAATAGTTGTTGCATTAAGACATGACAATCATGAGACTTCAACCCCACCAACTTTAAATCTTGCATATTAACAAGTTTACTGATATTTGATGAATACCATTGTGGTACCTTTACTCCACGTAAACACTCACAAAAACTTATTTTCTCCTTTCTTGATAAAGTATGAGCAGCTGGAGGCAAATATGTTCTCTTATCCCCGCAACGTGGAGCTAATGTAGGTCGTATACACATTTCAACCAAATCCAATCTAGCATTGAGTCCATCTTTAGTCTTACCTTTAATGTCTAAAAGAGTTCCAACAAGACTATCACATACATTTTTCTCCACATGCATCACATCAATACTATGTCTCACATCTAGTGTCTTCCAATATAGAAGATCAAAAAATATAGATTTCTTTTTCCACGGACTCTTCTCATTTGTAGGTATCTCTTTTGACCTCTTACCTCTTTGAGATTGAAGCTTTTGAGTCTTACCAAAAGTAACATTGATGCATTCAACTCGTTCATAAACTTGATTCCCTGTTAATGGTTGTGGAACATCTGTATAGTCTTGAACGCCATTGAATGCCTTTTTTAATTTTCTATAAGGGTGAAATTTATCAAGAAATCTCCGATGCCCCATGTATACAGTCTTTCTACCATGAACCAGTTGATGATAACAGGTATTATTTTCACATATGGGACATGCCTTATGACCTTTGACACTATATCCAGACAAGTTACCATAAGCTGGAAAGTCATTGATTGTGCAAAAAAGCATTGCATGCAACTTTAAAGTCTCCTTCCGGTATGCGTCAAACACTAACACACCTTCATCCCATAATTGCTTCAAGTCATCAATCAAAGGCGCCAAAAAAACATCTATATCATTGCCTGGTTGTTTTGGCCCAGAAATCATCAAGCTTAATAATATGTATTTGCGTTTCATACACAACCACAGGGGTAGATTATAAATTATCAACATAACTGGCCACGAGCTATGCTTGCTACTTAGGTTCCCGTGAGGGTTAATACCATCAGTACAAAGTCCAAGTCTAAGATTTCTCGACTCGTGGCCAAATTCAGGAAATGCATTATCAAATGTTATCCATTGAGAAGAATCAGCCGGGTGTCGAAGCTTGCCATCGGAAATTCTTTCATCTGCATGCCATGATAAGTTCTTCGCATCGCTTGGATTTGCAAACATGCGCTTAAATCTTGGAAGAATTGAGAAATACCACAAAACTTTAGCTGGTGGACTTTTCAAACGTACTTTACCACTCTCTCTTGTTTTATAATGAGATGCCCCGCATATTG